TGGAATATAGGTATACAAACTGCTTAATGTTTATTTGGTAATTGTGGAAAAACAATTTTTAACTGAAAGAAACCATAGATCTCTATGAACTAACATAGACAAATAACTAAACACATCTTGCATTCCACTACCACCACCAAATGACTGAAGCTCTGCACACACAGCAGTCAAATAAAATATTTCCATTATCTGTGTGAATGCTTGTCCGGCACACCACCAATCTACTGACTGTCCCGTAGCAGTCTGATTCAATCATCATTGAAAATGATCCATTGCCTCACAACACTGATGCAATGTCCACTTGACATATGAATGAACAAAATTTTTACTTTTGAAAATGTTTTAAATCAATGAATATATCTCATAATTTTGTTTTTCTTTATCATGTAATCAATGAATTCCATTCTGTGACTCATAAAACAAATTCTTACTACAGTTAATGTACAGTACAAGATGGAAAATGCAATTGAATATCACTCATAACATGGAGGATTCCTCCATGCTCATAAGTACCAGTATTTTGTTACTGTTTCCAAATTTGAGCCATAAATTAGTTCCAATGGGATACCAAATTTGCAACCTGAGAAATCAAATGCCAAAATATTTTGACCTAAAAGTACAACTAGTAACAAAATATCTTGTCCTTTCTTAAATAATTACCAAGGTTGATTTAACTTGTAAATCATAGATTTTATGTGTAATAATAATGCCAACATTGATATTAAACACTTTGCTCTTTTTATATATACATATTACTGTTATCTACTTTACGGAGACAGGAAAAACTACAAATTTATATACTGTTATTTGGTGTTGCTTGTTCCTGATTGGTCTATATTATATCATAAACCAATCAAAATCTATACTTTTGTTTATTAGATATTGTCATGTTAGGTGCCATCCATAATTTTCAACATCTTCGAAAGAGCATGAAACATATTATTCGGGGGTGGGGTTGAAAGTGTAGGCATATGAAAAAAATAAAAGTGATGATCCAAAAATCACACAAAGCAACCTTTGATTGTGAACTCTTTCAGAAGGAGGGAGGGGTCACAGAGAAGAGAGTTTTGTACTCTTATGGAAACGATCCCCTAAATCAAAATCATTAGAGATGTCACAATGTAGTAGTAGAAATTAGATGAACAAGTAGAGACATTTTAATTAGGAATGTAGTATCACAGATATTTGGACAGATGTGCTTAAAATCATTGTTATAAGGATAAATTAGATAAAGCTAATTGCGAACAAACTAGAACTGAACTGTGTCAAAAGAAGCATAGAATTTGGACGTGAACTGAAGCCTTGCATTACTGTGATTAATCTATGATTCCATATACACATTATATGTACTAAACCTTTATGATTCTACTCCTTGTGACAGTGGCGGACATGTCATCTCACATTAAGTGATGCGTTATAATATTTAAAGCTACCACTGTCTGGCATAAAATATAAAAAACCATCATAAATTCAAAGAAATACCTTCAATTTCCCATTGAAGAGAATCAAGTAAAGGCTTCAGAGGAAAACAATTTTTTGATATGTTGAAATCTAAGACATTGAATTAATGGGAATGGCTCATAAGATAAACTTTTGAAAATTTATAAACATCATCCGTAACACGTGAATTTATACTACTGCAATGAAGCAACTAAATGTTAGTATGAATGAACACAATATTTAAAATAAAGAAATAAGATGTTGATGAACATTTAAAGACAAATAAATGTTATTATTTGGAAGATTATCCTTGCAATTGGCTCCGTTTTAGACAGCTAGATGCAATATCAGGACCATAAAAAGCAGAAAAATAGTAGGAATTACAACCATGAAACAGGGGGTCATCTTATATGCCCAACATAAAAAAATTGCCCAAAAATCTTCTTAAACTCAGGAGTCATCTTATACGCGGGTCACTTTGTAAGCGAGTATATACAGTACTTATGAGTAAATGTGTAGGAAAGCTGATGCATAAAATGTGTCATGGCTTGTCAGAGTTAAATACTGTAGCCTCCATATTCACCATCATTATTAATCTATTAAAATCTTTGAAATCAGAATTTTATCATCATAATTTTATTACAAAATAATTCAATATACTTTTTTATGGAAAAAGATTTTTGGAATTTAGTCTTATTTATTAAAGCCAATTTTTCAGTGACATTATAATTTATGGATACAATAAAATCCCTCATTATTTTTCTAAAATTTGGGTTCAATGGGTCACCAATGGTTCAAACGTATCATACTCATTAAAGCTGAGACCCGGCTGATAGCGAGGATATCAGAGAAAAAAGAATAATGATGCCGATAACAAAATTATCCATTACGGCACTGCGACAATACCTACTGCAGAGACGGTCCATAAAATAAAGAGATTGTAACGATGTAATCCAAAAAAAAAATTACCCAATGCGCACAATGACAATAATGTTCAGAATTTTTGTGATGATCGACGCAGATCAGACTCTAGACACAGTCGGCCTCATTGATAGTAGGTTTAGATATATTTTTAAAAGCATGGGACTGATTGACTAATGGACTGAGGATAGGCCGGCTCCAGGGCCTGTTATTCTCAAGATGGTGTTTATATTTAGCCTGTCAATCAACATCAATCAATCATCCTGTCATTGTCCGTCTGAATGTCTGATAATTATTGAAAAACATGAGATTTTTATTAAGATACTGTCTCAGGTGGCAAGGGCTTGCCAAAAGGAATCCTAAGAATAGATTATGCCCAATATATAAGTCAACAACTCTCAGTGTATCTGCTTTTGATGTTGTTATCTTTAAGACTTTTAAGGGGTTTTTTTTCTTGTCTGTTTGTTTGTTAGACATAAAATATCCTGTGAAAGATTTGCTGTTTGTTTGAATAATATTACTGAAAGAAACATAATTAGTCAATATTTAATGAGATGAATTAGTGTTCCATGCGCATTTGATCTAGTGACTTTGGGTTAAAATATGAAGCACATAGACACATTATATTATGTGCTCTGCAGTCCTGATATCATATTATTATTATTTTTATTATTATTATTATTATTGTTATTATTATTATTATTATTAATATTATTGTTGTTATGTTACTAAAACCTACCTTAAGGGGAAATTAGACAATGGGGAATTTAGAGAACAATTAAAAATAATGACGTTAATTGGAAAATAACAAACAATATTTATCTTAATTGCGACTTAGAGCAGCATTATTATTATTATTATTACTATTATTATTATTATTATTATTACTATTGTTGTTTTGTTTCCTTCAGATGGACATGGATGTGAACATGGTCCATTTCTTCATATCATCAAATGTGCGAAGTATTTTTTGAAATACATTTGAATAAACAGAGGTGATGATGAGCTCAAGCTAGTGGTTGAGTCTCCAAGGAATTGAAATATAACAGCTGTTTCGATAATAAACGATGAAGTCTCTTAATTTTGCATTAAAGCTTCAATAAGAATTGTACTTCTGCTCTGTTAAATACGCAAATTTCTCTTAATTTTATCATCCTATTTATAATTATGCAAACCTATTTATTTCATATATATGTATTTCATTTCATTTATTCAAATAACCTCCAATAAAGAGAAGCATAGAAATACAATCAAAACAATGCAATAAAATTATATATACTTATCTAACACTTCACTCCTTAGCCGAAATTCGGCTTCTGCATCTTGAGGTTAATTTCCTTGCTGATTAGGAATTGAGGGCCTTTAATTAAACATACAGCACAGATTCAAGAAGTACGGTATGTTTCATAAAATGATAATACTACTAAGATATACCTCTGAGCATTATATCATATCTTTGTTATTAATTTTTAAGTAGCCTTTGAGCATAATATAACTTTGCAGCTGTTTCCATAGAATTATTTAAAGCATACATATATACAGAAGGTGTTTCATCAATAAATGTATCAAAATAACTTGTAGTTGTAGATATTTGATATCCTTGATAAAAAAAAAAGTCTAATAACCTACTGTAATTGCTTCTCTCTGCTTAGTTATGTTTTACACTAAAGCTGAAGGCATTAAAACAAATGTTCTTTAGAATTAACCTCTTTTTCAATTAAACTTGGTAGGAAAATTTAGCTCGATCAATTTGAATGGCCCTCGTAGGAAACATTGGTTCTGTTTGTCCTAGTTATCGTTTCCTCCGTGTTATTTTGCGAGTGTCAATGTTAGCAATTTCGTGGCAAGAAATCAATGGACTGTGACTTTCACATTATATTTACGCAATGAAGAATTGAATATACGGTAATAACCTGTGTCATTTTTTACTGGTAACAGGTCTCGTAAAATTGACAGTGATGTTATTCAACTGACGTACTCATAAAAGTGTATTTTAAACAATTTGGTGTGACATCGAATGGTTTATTGAAGCCATGAATTGTAGAATTGCAGATGTTTTATTTGTCTAACAAAATAAAATTTTACAAGTTTCCTAAGTTTCTAACATTCCCTTTCTGTTATACCAATCTGTAAATGTAAATTCATCAATTAATATTTTAATCTATTAATTAAAATCTGTAAAACTATCAATCAGTGTTTATTAATATTTTATATTAAACATTGTTTGGTACTGTTTTATTAATATCAAATATTAATTAATTGATAGTATTTTATATTTTAAAGTCAATCAATGAATGTAGTATATTGTAATAGAGTAAAATACTATGTGTGAATGTACTATAAAAAATTTTAAAAATTGAATGATCAACAACAAAACTAGAATTTATATTGAACCAATTTAAGAAATTATCAAAAATGCCACATTACCCATAAGCTTGATTACAAGGAATTTCTAAAAACAAGTTTTCAGATTATTTATGAATCAGTAAGTCAATGCGAGTCAATTAAACATCATTAGTTATTGACTTATTGATTTATAAATACATTGATAAGTCAATGTGAGTCACTTAAACATTATTATGTCAATGTTATTTATTTAATTGACTATTAATATATTGATGCCTATTATGTAATTTCAGAGTCCAGCCAGATGACACTGGTGCTTGGATAAATGTTGGCAGAGCCTATAAGAACATTCAAGAATACGAAAAAGCAGAGGATGCCTATCGCCACGCCATCACACTCATGCCAACGGTAGTTCCAGGGAAGATGTACACAACTAGAATAGCGCCCTCATACCTAAATGCATACATCAATCTTGCAAACTTAATCAAGAACAACAATACAAGATTAGAAGAAGCTGATACAGTAAGTTCAATTCACTACAACAAATCTCCTCGTCTACAAATGCATATCGGTTTTCAATTTCCATACAACCACGATGTTGAATGGAGAGATACAGTCCTGTGATTAAATCAGCAAAAGCCACAATTTAATTAAGTCATTGAATTGCTCATTTTAAAAGATCTAATACTGCAAAAAATATTCAAATTCAGTTTTTTACTCATGTGCAGATTTCTTGCATCCAATATACTTAAAGTGATTACCCTCCCACACAAATATATATGGCAATATATATGGTTCTTGTTGAAATTAACAAGGTAATTTGGATTAGGCCCCTAGTGATCCACAGCAGCCGCAGTGTAGTGTCAGTTAAGATCAGTACACTGGGAGAAAATCCGCTACTATTTGTGAATAGTCTACCAGGGTCTTAGGGCCTATATACAGTAGAGACTTTCATTTCAAATCAATTGGGTGTTCACTAAAGTGCCATTGCTAGGGCTTCGCAGGTCTTACCCACCCCTGCGCGTGTCATTTCCATGTCGTGGCATGAATTCTTTATGGCCCTGTCACACCTTGACGATTTAGCCAGCGTATGCCGACGTATGAAAAAATGGTGAATGCGCTGGCATACGTCGAATAAGTTATTGGTAAGTTTCGTATAAGTTAAGAGCACGCTGGTGTACGGCGAGTACGTTGAGAAATTTTGTGCATGCACAAAACATTTTGACATATGCCAGCATATGGCTCATACGTTCCGCATACGTGGGCCATAAGTTGTAGGTAAGTTAAGCAATCGTTGACACACGTTGACACATGTTACTTGTAAGTTACTCAAAAGTCAAAACGTATTTCTAACCTATGAGTAACGTATAACGAACTTATCTCCAACGTATATTGACGTATTTGACCTGTTCCAGACGACCACAAAACTTACTGAACGTGTTTCTAACTTACAGTTATCGTATAATGGCATATTGGCGTTTAGGGGAATAGGTGTATTAAATGGGGTGATGTCTATACCGTAATGTTGATACTGCGATGTCTAGTGTGATTATGATATGAATCGACGAGCGGCGGCCTTTTTAAAGGCTACGTCACATGATCATCGGTGATACGCTGCCGCGCGCTGTGCATAAGGTAGACTATCGCTGGGCATAAGTTGTGAACACCGGCAACACACTAAGCATTTGTTCGTGTAAGTTTTCTATAAGTAATCAAAATGTTCTATATATACAGTTACTAATACGTTATTTATACGTCCAGTACATTATGAATTCCCCATGAATGCGCCCAAAGTTGAAAAATAGCATTGATGATAGTTCAGTGTTTTAAAAAAATTTTGATACGTTTGGCATATGCTGACTAAATCGTCAAGGTGTGACAGAGCCATTCGAATAGATTACAACAAAATTTTGTACATACATACAGTTCTGATATTTAAATTTGTAGCAGACGATGCGTGAGAATGAGATTCCCCGTTGGAAGTCCCATAGCTATGGCATTTGCAGACGGAGAATAATCACTAAATGGATCAGTGTATACCCATCTGTTTCGTAGAACTCACTTATGTTACCCCATATACCCGATACCCATCATTTTTTTACACTCAAGACATTTTTAAACATTCAGCATTTAGATTCTTACCCACACACATATGTTCTTACATAGCCATATGTTGTTAAATATTCCTGTAGATACATTCTTCTTACTCATAAATATTCCTGCATTATACATTACCCCTTATATACATTCTTACACCCCATATAGCTTCTTAGGCATCATATAAGTCACCAACCATTACCATTACCATCATAAAATATCCCACGATTACAGTCTTGCATTCTGCATACAGTATCCTGAATACATTATAAATATGTAGCATAGAAAGTGAAGGTCAATTTGGATTTGTAAGCATTGAAACTCATTCTGTGGGCTTTGTAACTTCACACTTGGCGTTCAATCCTCAAAAATCGTTCCATTTTCCCAGCCAGACGTTTGGGATTTTTATGTGAATCCAATGCATAAACAATAATTAAGATGATGAAAAAAATACAAAAGAAATATTACTATAGATTCAGGGGAGTTGTAGATGAAATGCTGTACCGACGATAAGGAGTTTATAATGAAGAAACAGTATGGAGAAACTTGGATGGGTAATTTTCTTAAGGATTATTTGATGAGCTGAACAATTTCTCGGGAGAGCTATTCCACTGGAGATGGAGATCAAATGTGCCTGATGTAAATTCGAAGAAAAATCGGCTAATGCATGAAATTGCAGACAGCTTAAATTTGTTAGATTTTTTTTTTCTAAGTAAGATATACTGTTGTATGCATATTATATTTCAAGATCGTAAAGATTGGTACATCTTAGCGATTATATTTCCCCTTATATGGAAATTTACTTGATATAAGATATAGTGTCCAACTAAATCATTCTCACTGTTATCAGTTATTTTGACAAGTTTTTTTTTTGCATATGATTATTATTGCGAATCTAAAATAAAATATTTCGAATAGATTTCATTCCATTAAACAATGAAGTTATCATTGTTAAAGTCAGACTCCGGAGGAAAAAAAATTTGTGATATGTTTGTAAAGTAAGTGAAAAAATGTTTTATTTATCAGTCTTTGTTTTTTAAAATGTTCTTTGCATTGTGATAATTGGTAAGATATTGTGTATTGACATTTCTTTTTAGTATTAAGGGTAGAATGTTGCATTATGGGTAGGATGGACACTTTTCACATGAATAGGTTATTCCAGTTTGTGTACGAAGCCTGGATGTAATTACTCCTAAAGGATTTGGGATAATTGCCTAAATGTAAGCTAGTATAAGGGGTAATAATTCCAGGAGGCAATTTGAATGCAGAATGTACGGATTATGGGCATCAGCAGGCAGAGTTGTATTGTTTCTATTTTTGTTATTAATTTTATTGTTAATATTATTTTTTTACTGAATAGGTGAGGTAAAAAAATACAAAATAACAATAAAAATAATAATTATTATAATTACTTATGGATTTCTTATTTGATATAATTTTATATTTGCATAATAGGCAAATGAAAGTGAAAAGAAAAAATTCCTTTGGTAGCTTTTTCAGAGAGTGATAACAATGCGGCCAGATCTAACGACGGCATACATCAACCGTGGAGATGTCCTCCTACGATTAAATCGTTCATTTGATGCCGAACAGTCTTTCAGAACGGCTCTTGAACATGATCACGACAATGCTGATATCCATTATAACGTAGGTGCTTCAACTTTTTGTATTTACACGTTTATTTCATAATTGGTCAAAAATGTGTGCTTGATTTCGTTGATTATGTTCTACGTGTTTTCGACTAATCCACAGATCTCATGTAATGTTGTCATTGCTCTTATTATGACAAATTGCTTCTGTATCTGAGTTAACATTTCTCATTTACTCTATCTATAGATCAAAACCGGAATCTATATTATTTTCTCATTTAATCAGCTGCTTTACAGATTCTCTGAATGTCCAAGTTCAAATTATTGGAACTTTTTTTTAATATTTTCTCTCAACTTGTTTCTATTCATCTTCATTTTAATCCATCTATCTATCCATTTATATTTAGGCCATATATGTGTATATAAACTTAGGAAAAACTCTGAATGTCTTGCAATTTTAAAGATAATTGTAATCCAATTTGGCTTTAATTGAACGAATAGATATCCTTAATAAAGGAAACAGGTAAACTTCTTGAACTGAAATCCTTGATAATTGAACCAGATGGATGTAGGTTGATAAAAAAAACACCACACATCTTTAATGATGATTTAATGTGTGTATGTGTGTGTGTGCTGTCTCTTATACACATCTAGATGTGTATAAGAGACAGGTGTATACCCATCTGTTTCG